GCACGATATTAGATAACAAATTAATCTAATCTCTGCATTAGCCCCTGTTTCTAATTGCCTTGGGATGTTGAGATACGTAGTAAAATGAATAGCACAATCAAACCCCCTAGAGATGGATGTGATAGAAGTGTACAGAGACACTGCTGTGGTAATCACCAAAGATTTCTTCTTAGTTCTGCAATTGCTCGTTTTTCAGCGCTGCTGCCAAGTCTAGATAAAAGCCAAGTAGCAGGAATGGAGTGGAGGATTCAGTAATATTTGGGTTAACAACCCACTCATTACTTCATTATTCTTAATTCCCTTTATTTCCACTTACGTGTCTTCTTTATTCATTTAGGGAGACAATAATAACTCTACAATTTGGTCTCTCTTGTTGGAACTTGAAAACTTTCCAAGTAGCCTTTGCTAAACTTGGGAATTAGGAAGTTTGCATAGGGAAGCCAAAGCAGTGTGACAAAGTAGCTAAAAGCATAATATGGGATCTATCAGTTTACTGTTTCTGAAGTGGGGATTTAGGGCTCCTCCCCACCTCAAGTGACTTCATTGAGTTGTTTTATTTGATGCTCTTATATTTTTAAATTTTATGTAAAAGCAACTTCTTACGGAAGTTGTTTTAATGTAAAACAGAAGCCATCATAGATTTAAGAACTTTAGATATAAGTTTCCATGCTTGCTTTCTTCCCATAAGTAACATCTTTTATCTTTGCTTTCCATTTTGGTCTTTTCCCTGGTAGTCCAGTAAGAACTGTTTTTTGTTCCTGTCAATCTTGTGTTTTGGGTCATACTTTTTTTTTTCAATCCTTTGAGTACCCTTCCTATGCTATGAGTCCCTCTTTTGCCTCTTTTTAACAAAGTGTTTTGGCTTATACCGGATTATGGTCTTACACATTTTGGGGAAGAAGCACACCCACACTTCATTAGGATGGTTGGTATTCAGTACAAGAAATAGCCTTTTCTTTCAAGGACCTAGAGTTTCACTGATGTTTAAAAATGAGAATGAAATTCATATAAATCCTATGATAGAGTCTTAATTACCCTAGTATAGGAGCAGAATCCTCACTCAGTGTAAAGAGATAGAGAGTTGGATAGAGGGATGACCAAGCTTTGTAGAGATGTTTGGACTGACTGTCCGAAGGAAAAATAGAAAGCCACTAGAACAGTGGTGAGATGGAAAGGGCATTCTAGCAAACAAGTCTTCTTACCTTATTGAATTAGTGGTGTTATTTTTCAGATAACTTATACCTTAAATGGTATTGGTAACCAATTCATAAGTATTAGTCAGACCTCAGTGTGTGTCCTTTGTCCTGTGGGGGCTATGTTGGAAAAGAAACTTAGTCAGAGATGCAATTAGGCAATCTCATTTAACATGAAGTGGCATGTTAAATTCCAATTAGAAATTATATTGCTCTAGGAATTTAGAGAATCAAGGATTAATAAGAGCTAAAGTATTTGAAAAATGGGTTTAGATTTTTAGTATACTAGGAGAAAAGAGACAATTGAAAGTGGGTATAAATGAATATGACACAGTGTGATAGAGTTTCCTGGAATGTATGCATGGACTTGGTGATTAGCAGGGAGGGGTGGTAAGAAATCAAAAGTCCAGGAGGCCAGCTAAGAAGCCTTTTGGATTATGAGGTGAAGGTAATTAGGGCCTGACATTTCCTTACCAGATTTCTATAACCATATTGTCAGAGCTTCCATGCTGTTTTAAAATTTTATCACCATCTGTTTTCTTATAACAAGTGGACTTCTGTTATACAATTCACTAATAGGTTTCTTTCTAAAGGTAATCGGTGAATCTGCCAAATCTAATGGTCATCTTTTTGTGTTCGTGCGAGGGAAATCACTGCAGCACCACCTAAGTACAACAATGGAGGCCTTTCTGCTCACTACCAAGAATATATAAACTTCAGTAGGTTGTGAAACAAAACAGAAACCTAATTCATTCAGAGCTTTAAAAATTTTTACCATATTTTATAGTGTACTTAAAATTGCTTATAGCAGAACTGACAGCATAACAAGGGCATAACTTCTTAATACAGGCTGTCTTTTGAAGAAAAGATGAGACATTTTTATTACCCAGGCTATCTAGATCTAACTTTCTTTAAGACTTAGTTGAACTTCTTCTTCTTTCTTCAGGACTGGCGTTCTTGTTGTTCTCTAACCTTTACTTAACTTCACCAGTGTCCATAAGCTCAGCCTTTTTGCTCTTTGATTTAGCTTTCTTATGTCTGAATCTTCTTGACTGGTCTGTAGGTTTCTGGAGGGCAGGAATGTTTATCATGCTAATTTTTGCATGTGTATATTAGTTACTCCATACGTAACTCTGTATTCATGTATAGTTATAAATTCTTATTGAATATAACATTTTTAAAACAACCTTATTCTTTGTTTACATATGTTTAATTGGGAGATGTCATGAAGTCTCATGGAACTTACAGGGTAAGATAGGTTTCTATGTAGGGGGCATCTGCAATGACAGTTAATCCCACTTTAGCACATGCTTTTATATTAACTCTGAAACATGGTGTAACTTGCTGCTTGGAAGATTTGATCAAAATAAAGTTCTTTGCAATGGAGGCTTGATTGAGGCAAATTGAATACAGCATGGTATAATAGCCCAGTGTTTTAATGAGGGGATGTGAAAATAGTAAACAACAACTACTATCACAACCATCAACCAGTAGCTAGTATTATATTGAATACTTTCCTATTTGCCTGGCACTCTGCTGAGTACTTTATATTAGTCAAGTAGGTGCTGTTTTAATTATCATCTTCAACTTTACAGATAAGGTTAGCATAGAATGGGCATCGAGAGAGTTGGGCTCTGGTTTCAGTTCTTTGTTTAACAACCTGTGGGAAATAGGGTGAGCCTTTAACTTCAGTGGACCGCTTAGTTTTTTTTAATCTTTACATAAAGATTAGTCTAAATCTCTAGGGTACTGCCCGTTCATTTGTATTGTAAGATCTTTAATTTCTCATTACTTACTGGCATGCTGAGAATAATCATTTTTGGCTGATCCTGTATAGTAGAATAGTGAGGGTATTTGTCATTTTTTAAAGATCTCTGAAGATACTATGCAGGGGAATTTAAAATTCAGGCTTCAGAGAAATACACGTAGGGTGAAGAAGGGAATTTGAGAAAAATGAGAACGGATCAAACTATCAGAAAACAAGATGATAGTAGGACTCTATAGTTACTGGCAATGAAGATAGAATCTTTATAGCTGTCTTTTGTTTATTTTTTTGAGACACGGTCTAGTCCAACTTGGTCTCCAACTCCTTATGTAGCTTGGGCTGACCCAGAACTCACAATCATCCTGCCTTAGCCTCCTGAATGCTGGAATTACAGGTGTGTACCACTATTCCCATCTTCATTGCTATTGCTAGTGCAAATTATTCTTGGACTAGTATTGTTAACATTTGTTGAATATTTTCTCCATGCAAGTGTTATCACATTTTAATTTTCAAAGTAATATTTTAACTGTGGATACTATTACTGCTTCATTTTATAGATGAGGAAGCTAGGGTTTAGAGATAGTGAGCATTTTCACAGTCCTATAGGTAGTAGTAGCTGCTGGCATGGATACTTACATTCTGGTCTTACTGACTCCAAAGCCTGTATTCTTATGGATTCTATATCGTCTCTCATAAGTTCAGATCCTATACACAATACCCAAAGTTTTTTTGCTGGGAGCCATTTTGGATGAGGAGCCTGTATGGGCTGTATGGAATTTTCTTAGCCACAAGTTTTTTGTTTGGGTTTTCTTCCTTCCTCCTTACTCTTCGTGTTGGGGATCAAACTAAGGACCTTGCGCAGACTAGGTCCTGTGCTCTAGCACTGAAGCCTCCTTTACTCCCAGTCAGTCTTTTGACTGAGATATTTTCTTATTTTGTCTCCCCCCTACCTTTTTTATTTTGGTGTGTTTTAGAAGTCTTTTTCTTTCTTCTCTATTATCAGGCTCATTAGTCCTGCTTCTTTGAACCCTGGATAGAAGGGACTTGTATCCTTTGCTGAAAGTTAACAATTGCATTGTGAGGTGTCTAACTTTCTTTCTATATTCTCACCTTCAATTCTTAGAGCAGCTACTTTCTTTTTTCTAGAATATGTATTAACCTGGCAGATCTTTTTGTGAGTGGTAATGGTCTTAATTTTTTAGAGTTAGAGATGAATACATTAGAGAATCCAACTCATTGGACGTTTGCTTAGGCTGTAATGCTTCTTTTCTTGTTGCCATTTATGTGATTTTTTGTCCTCTTAACATCCTATACTCCCAGATCTTTGGTTAGCTTTTCAAGTCAAGCTTCTTCCTTGACTTCTTTAAAAAAACAACTGCCTGGTACTGCTTATCCTCCTTTTCTCTTGCTCATTAGTGTCCTTGACTTTGCATTCCTCTTTTTGGTTTGTTTCCTCAGCTAGCTTATCTCCTTGCTATTCTTGTCTACCTGCTTTACTCTTCCTGCCTCCTACCTGCTCAACTTTTCCTTTCTTTTATGGCAAATTCCTGTGTGTACTTCCCAATTACTTCTCTGAATGCTTTCCTTCACTTTATTTTTGATACTCCTGAGTTTGTATAACTCCTCTAAAATTTGTAAAAATGAAATTGATGTAAAGATGTACAGTTTTCAAATTTTTAAGGGCTTGTGTTTTGGTGAGTAGAGTTGGGCTGCAGACAGAGATTTTCATACCAAGATCCTTTGCCCTATTAAAGAGGCATACTTTAGAAAGAATGGTGTCAGCGTCACTGTCTATGTATGTATTGTTCTGTATTTTAAACACTTTAAAACAAGTTTGTTAAGTTTTGAAGAAGACAAAGTTAAGAAAAAAGATTGGAAATGTTGATCCCTTAAATATTTGGTTTGGTCATTAACATACTCAATCTTTTCTCTCCAGATTTAGCTCAGGCTTTACCTTACTTTGGAACTCCTAGATTTGTGAATGTTGGATTATTTTGAAGAGGAGGGGTTCTTCCTTGATTCTGGAACTAAGGAGTCATTTACTTCAGGATGAACTGAACTGGGAGAGCAGCCTAACATCTATGGACTGGTTACCACAGCTCACCATGAGAGCAGCTATCCAAAAATCTGATGCTGCACAAAATGCACATGGAACAGGAATTTCTAAGAAGAATGCACTCCTTGACCCAAATACAACTCTGGACCAGGAAGAAGTTCAACAGCACAAAGATGGGAAACCTCCATACAGTTATGCCAGCCTCATTACATTTGCAATTAATAGCTCACCCAAAAAGAAAATGACTCTAAGTGAGATTTACCAGTGGATTTGTGATAACTTCCCATATTATAGAGAGGCTGGCAGTGGTTGGAAGGTAAGGATTTTACTTAAATTACTACTTTTGTAGAGTAAGCAATACTGTGTTGACTGCTATTGAAAATAAATCTTCGTGGGGGGGTCATGTAATTAAAGATGAAATTCTAATTACTAGTCATTTTTAGGATGTCTGAAATGGAAAAAAATTTTTTTTTTTTTTTAAATCTGATGAAGTAACCTTATTTTTGAATTAACAAAATTTAATTCGAGCTTTATTATGTTATAGGACTGACATAGCATAAAGTAAGAGCAGTAAGAATATTGAATTCAGGTAAATAGATAGGACAAGGTAAACACAATATGGTATTGCAACTAATACTGTATTCATCATTCACTGTGTTTTTTTTTTTTAAACTTTGTTTTGAAACAATTTTAGATTTATACAAAAGTTACAAAAGTAGTATAGTAGGTGCCTCTGTATCATCAGCTTACTCTAATATTAACATTTTATATAACTGTAGTACAATTATAAAAACCAAAAGGGCTGGGAATGTAGCTCAGTGGTAGAGTGCTTGTCCAGGATAGCCAACACTATTTAAAAAAAAAAAAATCAAGACCAAGAAATCAATGATGGTACAATAAGATTGACCAGACAGTATTATGTTCCAGAATCCTACATTGCATTTAGTTGTCATGTCTTCTCCAATTTTTTTGTCTTGACTTTCATACTTTTGAAGAGTACTTGTCAGATATTTTGTAGACTTTTCCTTAGTGTGCTGATATTTTCACACAATTAGATGGAGGTACTGCATTTTTGGGACAAATAATGATGAGGTAATGTGCCTTTCTTTGCATATCAGAAATTACATGGTCAGTATAACCATGATTTTTTGGATAATATGCTGTCAGGTTTCGGCACTTATAAAGTTACTGTTTTTCACTTCGTAAATAATAAAATGTTTTGGGGAGATACTTGGGGGGTATGAAATATCCTGCTGCTTCTTAAATGTTTGTCCATTAATTTCAGCATTCATTGATAGGCACACTTCTAATTTTTCCTTTATTCCCTGTAAAAATACTAATCCTATTCTTCAGTCAAGGTTGTTCCTTTCTCCTTTTATGTATTCAACCATGTATTTGTAAAGTACTCACTTGAGGATATTTTATTCTTTATGCTCTAATTGTTATTCAGATTGTTGCAGCTTCAACTATTGGGAGCACTTACAGGGTGTCCCTGTTCTTTTGTTTCTTTAGTACGTTTTTACCTTTTCTTTTTGGCAGCCAAGGATTGTCCTTGTACTTTCTGCCAATCCAGAATCAATCACTTTTTTTTTTTTCTTTTTTTTTTGGGTGGGGCAGGGGGGAGACAGTGTCTCACTGTATAGCCCAGGGTGGCCTTGAACTCTTGATCCTCCTGCCTTTGCCTTTCATGTGGATTACAAGAGTGTACCACCATGCCTGGTCTACACTTCTTTAAGGAATGTTTGATGAACCATCACATTAGGTACTAAGTGATTTATGTTAAATAACAAATAATCCAATTTAATTTCTTTGTCTCTGCACATGTTTTATTAATTTTCTTTAATAGAATTTACCAAGTTGTGTACCATGTGGGGTGTGTGCACAAGCATATGGAAGAAGGGGGCATATAGATAGGGTTAGGTCTATGTCAGATGATAGGTAGTCTTTAGTTTCTCTTAAGACTTCCTGCTTCATTATGTTTGTCTTTTCATGTGATTAATTTATTGAAGGCATTTGGTCATTTATCACACACTAATGATGTGCCATCACTATGGCAGGTAATCAGGTGTCTTGAAGGATTGTGCTACATTATACTTTTTGTATCTGTTCCTTCTATGCTCTGGTACACAGTGCTAGCTTTTAGTTAGGTCAGTATATGTGGTTTGAGTCAAAGTAGAATTTTTGCTTTCAGGTTTCCTTTCTACCTTTAATTTTGCTCTTTCCTCTCTTATACTGTGTGCATTCCAGCCTACTGGTGTCTTTATAAACACCTTGTTTTTGTTTTTTCTCTCATTTTTCCTTGGACTTCCTCTTTTTACCCTTTATCCAGTTGGCATACCTGTTATTTCAGCTCATTTGTTACTTTTCCTTTCTTTATATAAAATGAATCCCTTTTGTGTTTCCTCACATTTTTTAAATGTAGAAGTATCATTGAATTTACCGATTTTTATCCAGAGATTTTATGTTTCATTAGTTTTTGTTTCTGTACACAACTATGCAAATGGTAGTCTTTTTCAATTTTCTCTGTGGGGGAACTATTCTAAGTGCTTTATATCATTGTCTCCTTAAGTGTCATGGAAGCTTTACTAGGTGAATTCTATTGTCCAAATTTTAAAGATAAGAAATCTGAGGCATACATAGATTAGTAACTTTCCAGGATTTCTCAGCTAGAGAATAGTACAGTTGAGATTTGGTCCCAGGCTTGGTAGATTTGGAGATTTCATTGCTCTTGTTCTTATCTGGTACATGGGGCCTATAATTTTGCAAAAGCTACAAAAATACTTGTTGAATTTAACTTGCTAAGAGAAGCTCTCTGTTTACAGTCTGACTTGCTGGAAGTATACTTTGAATAAAAGTCCAGTCTTAACGCAATGTTTCAGTGGAGGAAATATATAATAAAATTTGACACATGGATCAAAGCATCAGTCTAAGTAGATAGTAGTGATTTATATAAACTATGTTTTTTATTTTATCACTGAGCATCGTAGGTGCCTTTTGTCAAGATTTAGATGAGGGAGATTGGAGGTTTTGATACATCTGTTTGGCATTGGATAAATATGGTGACTGGAGAGTAGAAATGGCCAAAAATTTTTGAATAAGAAATCTCAAGGAGGGATTGTGTGGGTCTTCTATCCCATTGTTGAAACATCAGATTGTTTAAGGTTTACCAAACAGGTGAATAAAATGAGTTAAAGTAAAAGCTGCCAAACTGAAGAATGTACCTCTAATGTAAAAGGAATAGCTGTGTTCTAGTTGCTTGTTGCCTTTTAGGGCACATGGTAGGTAGACATTTCAGTTTGCCTCCCCAAGAAAAGTGAGAAGTCTGGATTTTTGTGCAGAATTTTCTAATTTATAGCTGTTACCAATTTCATGTTTTTTAATTACTCTGCAATACAAACATATCTGTTCTTTGTGTTCAGCCTATGGACCACTAATTTGGAATCTCTGGTCTAGATCATATCTTCTTCCTTTCAGCTAATTTTATGGTCCTTTCAACTCCTAAATTTGGAAAGGAAATTTATTTATTTTTTATTTTTTTTTTTTTTCATTTTTATTTCATTTTTCTTTTATTATTCATATGTGCATACAAGGCTTGGTTCATTTCTCCCCCCTGCCCCCACCCCCTCCCTTACCACCCACTCCCCCTCCTCCCCCCCCCAATACCCAGCAGAAACTATTTTGCCCTTATTCTAATTTTGTTGTAGAGAGAGTATAAGCAATATTAGGAAGGAACAAGGGTTTTTGCTGGTTGAGATAAGGATAGCTATACAGGGCATTGACTCACATTGATTTCCTGTGCGTGGGTGTTACCTTCTAGGTTAATTCTTTTTGATCTAACCTTTTCTCTAGTTCCTGTTCCCCTTTTCCTATTGGCCTCAGTTGCTTTAAGGTATCTGCTTTAGTTTCTCTGCGTTAAGGGCAACAAATGCTAGCTAGTTTTTTAGGTGTCTTACCTATCCTCACCCCTCCCTTGTGTGCTCTCGCTTTTATCATGTGCTCATAGTCCAATCCCCTTGTTGTGTTTGCCCTTGATCTAATGTCCACATATGAGGGAGAACATACGATTTTTGGTCTTTTGGCCAGGCTAACCTCACTCAGAATGATGTTCTCCAATTCCATCCATTTACCAGCGAATGATAACATTTCGTTCTTCTTCATGGCTGCATAAAATTCCATTGTGTATAGATACCACATTTTCTTAATCCATTCGTCAGTGGTGGGGCATCTTGGCTGTTTCCATAACTTGGCTATTGTGAATAGTGCCGCAATAAACATGGATGTGCAGGTGCCTCTGGAGTAACAGTCTTTTGGGTATATCCCCAAGAGTGGTATTGCTGGATCAAATGGTAGATCGATGTCCAGCTTTTTAAGTAGCCTCCAAATTTTTTTCCAGAGTGGTTGTACTAGTTACATTCCCACCAACAGTGTAAGAGGGTTCCTTTTTCCCCGCATCCTCGCCAACACCTGTTGGTGGTGGTGTTGCTGATGATGGCTATTCTAACAGGGGTGAGGTGGAATCTTAGTGTTTTAATTTGCATTTCCTTTATTGCTAGAGATGGTGAGCATTTTTTCATGTGTTTTTGGCCATTTGAATTTCTTCTTTTGAGAAAGTTCTGTTTAGTTCACTGCCCATTTCTTTATTGGTTCATTAGTTTTGGGAGAATTTAGTTTTTTAAGTTCCCTATATATTCTGGTTATCAGTCCTTTGTCTGATGTATAGTTGGCAAATATTTTCTCCCACTCTGTGGGTGTTCTCTTCAGTTTAGAGACCATTTCTTTTGATGAACAGAAGCTTTTTAGTTTTATGAGGTCCCATTTATCTATGCTATCTCTTAGTTGCTGTGCTGCTGGGGTTTCATTGAGAAAGTTCTTACCTATACCTACTAACTCCAGAGTATTTCCTACTCTTTCTTGTATCAACTTAAGAGTTTGGGGTCTGATATTAAGATCCTTGATCCATTTTGAGTTAATCTTGGTATAGGGTGATATACATGGATCTAGTTTCAGTTTTTTGCAGACTGCTAACCAGTTTTCCCAGCAGTTTTTGTTGAAGAGGCTGCTATTTCTCCATCGTATATTTTTAGCTCCTTTGTCAAAGATAAGTTGCTTATAGTTGTGTGGCTTCATATCTGGGTCCTCTATTCTGTTCCACTGGTCTTCATGTCTGTTTTTGTGCCAGTACCATGCTGTTTTTATTGTTATTGCTTTGTAATATAGTTTGAAGTCAGGTATTGTGATACCTCCTGCATTGTTCTTTTGACTGAGTATTGCCTTGGCTATTCGTGGCCTCTTGTGTTTCCATATAAATTTACAGTA